GCTTGGCATACATCAGATCAAACTTGTGGTCAATGCGAGAGAAGACCTCTGCAACACTAGTTGAGTTAGAGATCATGCACACAGCTCTTTGCACCTTGGCAAGGTCGCCTCCAGGAACCACAGTAGGTGGTTGGTAGTTGATACCACACTTGAAACCAGTAGGACACCAGTCGACAAATTGGATAGTGCGCTTGGTCTTGATGGTGGCCACAGCAGCGTTGACATCCTTTGGCACAACATCACCACGGAACATGAGACAGCAGGCCATGTACTTGCCATGGCGAGGGTCACACTTAACCATCATAGAAGAGGGTTCAAATGCGCTGTTTGTGATCTCTGCAACTGAGAGCTGCTCGTGGTAAGCCTTCTCAGCTGAAATGACCGGAGCATAGGAAGAAAGCATAAAATGGATTCTGGGATAGGGTACAAGATTTGTCTGGAACTCATTCACATCAACATTCAGGGCACCATCAAACCTCAAAGAAGTAGTCAGAGAAGAAATGACCTGTGTAGGAAGCACAGAAATTACTATCTGCGGTTCAAGAAGTATGTAGTATGTAAGACACAGTTCAGAATGATATGCTACTAAATTACCTGTGAAATAAGGCGGTTAAGGTTGGTGTATGTGGGGCGCTCAATGTCCAGTGAGCGCTTGCAAATGTCATAAATGGCCTCATTGTCCAGAAGAATTGCAACATCAGTGTGCTCAAGCAGGGAGTGAGTTGAAAGCACACTGTTGTAAGGTTCCACAACAGATGTTGAGACGTGTGGTGAGGGATAAATTGTGAATCCAAGTTTTGATTTCTTGCCATAGTCAACTGAGAGACGCTCCAGTAAAAGTGACCCAAGACCAGAACCAGTGCCACCACCAACAGCATTAAAAACCAGGAAACCTTGAAGACCAGTACAGTTATCTGAAAGCTTCCTAATGCGGTCCAAACAAAGATCAACTATTTCTTTCCCAACTGCACAAAAGATACAAAGATGACCATCAGCACACAATTGACCTGAAAGAGTAACAAATGCAGAGTAATATATATACTTGTATAATGGCCAC